TCCAGGAATACGGTGCCATCATAAATCTCCGTGAGCGCATCGGGACCTTCTCGACTTAAGGCGCAACAGATCGAGACGCTGATAACTGCCATAGACCTGCACTGCGTGTTATTGACGACAGTGTGACGCTGCCGCCTCGAGCGACTATTCACATCGAAGTCACTTGTGAAGACCTCCGAGACAGTGACGTGGTGGCTGAAAGCAACCTATCACTTCTGCTGCTCGAAGGTGTATGCGCCGCCCAAAGTGTTATGCGTGTCCGTGACGGACAGTCACAGATACTAGTTACAAACTTCAACTATGAGCACCGGCCTCTTTTCCGCGGAACCACCGTAGTATATGGAGACCTTGTTGCCGACGTCACGGAGTGCTTCGCGTCCAAGGAAACGCATGAAGATGAAGAATTTCTAGACCACATCAAGATTAATTCGACGCTGTCAGACGAGAGAAAGGCCACACTTCATGACCTTTTAAGGGAGTTTCAATCTTGCTTCGCCTCTTCTTCCAATGTCCGTCAAACACACCTCACGAATCATCGAATTATTACCGACGATGACGTCTGCCCCATCTGGCAGCAGCCTTACCGCGTTTCTGCCAAAGAACACGAGGCTATTCAGACGCAAGTAAAAGAGATGCTCGATGACGGGATTATTCAACCCTTGGTCCTCGCCAGTCGTTCTAGTGAAGAAAAAAGATGGAACGCTGCGATTCCGTATTGACTACAGGAAGCTCAATAGCGTCAGGAAAAAAGACGTCTACCCGCTCCCACAGGTCGATGACTCTCGACAGGTTACAACGTGCGAATTATTTTTCGTCCATCGATCTAAAAAGTGGCTATTGGCCAATTGAAGTGGATGAACGAGACCGAGAAAAAAACCGCGTTTGTGATTCCAGACGGTTTTTACGAATTCCGAGTTCTTCCCTTCGGCCTTTGTTCTGCCCCAGCCACTTTTCAGAGGATGATGAACACTGTTCTCGCTGGCTTGAAGTGGCAAAGCTGCCTTGTCTACCTCGATGATGTGGTCATCTTTTCCGAGAGCTTTGAAGAACATCTGAAGCGTCTGAGAAAGGTTCTGGAAGCCATTCACACAGCTGTACTTGCGCTGAAACCCCAAAATGCCATTTCGGCTATGAGGAGCTGAAATTTCTGGGACATGTCATTAGTGCGGATGGAGTGCGACCTGATCCAGAAAAAACTGCTGCCGTCGCTGCCTTCCTTGTTTCATCAGATAAAAAAGCAGTACGCCGTTTCCTTGGCTTGTGCACGTATTATCGCAGATTTATCACCAACTTCTCGAAGATAGCTAAACCTCTTTCGCGACTCACCCGAGATGACGTGTCCTTTACTTGGAGCGCAGAACAAGATACATCGTTCACAGAGCTACGACAGAGAATGCAAAGAGCCCCTGTTCTTGCCCAATTCGATGAAGACGCTGCTACAGAAATTCATACAGATGCCAGCAATGTCGGACTTGGCGCTGTCCTTGTACAACGACACGGCGGTGTTGAGCATGTAATGCTTACGCCAGTCGTATTCTTTCTCGAGCCGAGACCAACTATTTTACATCATAAAAAGAATGCCTCGCAGTTGTGTGGGTGACGACCAAATTTCGGCCTTACCTCTACGGTCGTCCCTTCAAAGTGGTGACTGACCACCACTCGCTCTGCTGGCTGGCTAATCTCAGAGATCCATCCTGCCGTCTCGCTCGGTGGAGTTTGCGTTTGCAGGGGTTTGACATTACGATTGTGTACAGGTCAGGGCGCAAACACGAAGATGCCGACGCGCTATCTCAAGCGCCTGTGGGACACACTGTCAGGGGCTCCAAGATGAAGAAGGCTTTCTCGGAGCAGTTAGCGGTTCCGAATTCATGTCAAAACAGCGGGCAGATGAAAAATTACGCCAAGCAATTGATTCCCTAGAAGGCCGGAATTCTCAGGTCCCTCAGCACATTGCTTGCGAGTTGTCCTCTTTTTGTCTAAGAAGAGGCATTCTTTACAAGAAAAACGCCCGTGGTAGCGACAAAGCCTTCCTACTCGTCGTTCCTACTGACATGCGTGATGAGATCCTCCTTGCGTGCCACGACGAGGCCACGTCAGGACATTTGGGCTATTCGCGAACTCTTGCCAGAGTACGCCAACAGTATTACTGGCCGCGACTATCAACTAGTGTACATCGCTATGTGAAAGGCCGCCGTGAGTGGCAGCGCCGCAAGACTCCGCCTGTGAGACCCGCAGGCCTGCTCCAGCCGATCGCACCACCCCGGACACCGTTTGACCTCGTGGGAATGAACCTTCTCGGACCCTTCTCTTTGTCATCCTCTGGGAACAAATGGATTATAGTTGGCACAGATTATCTTACTTGTTATGCTGAAACAAAAGCGTTACCCCGTGGTACGGCCTCTGAAGTCGCACAGTTCTTCGTGCACCAAATCGTCCTACGCAAGGTGCCCCGTCATGCGTGATTACGGACAGAGGGACGTCGTTTACAGCAGGAATGATGAAGGACATTTTTAAATTGAGCTGCACAAGTCTACGAAAAACGACGGCTTATCACCCGCAATCTAACGGACTAACTGAGAGGCTTAACAAGACCATAGCAGACATGCTGTCAATGTACGTGGTTGTACAACACAAAACCTGGGACGAGATTCTTACATACATCACGTTTGCATACAATACGGCAAGGCAAGAAACAACGTGATTTCCGCCTTTCCGACTTGTTTATAGACGCAACATGCGAACCATGCTCGACACTATGCTTCCGAGCGACCAAAGCAATGAACTTGCTCCAGACGCTGAGCAATACACTCAGTACGCCGAAGAAGCTTGTCAGCTAGCTCGCATAAACACCAGTCACCAACAAGATGCAGATGCACGGCGTTACAACCTCACTCAGTACGCCAAAGAAGCTTGTCAGCTAGCTTGCATAAACACCAGTCACCAACAAGATGCAGATGCACGGCGCTACAACCTTGCCATCGAAACGTCACCTACCACCGTGGGGACTGAGTGTGAGTGTGGATCCCTGTCTGGCGACCAGGCTCACCCGAAAAACTCCTAAGCCGTTAATTCGGACGGTACAAGGCTCTTAGACGTGTCACAGATCTTACCTACGAGGTATTTCCGGACGGCGCATCGTTTTCTTGTCGACAGCTTCGGCTAGAAATCGTGCATGTCGTCCGGCTGAAGCCCTACTTCACACAGTAGCCCTTTTGGTTTCATGTGTTACGACAGGCCGTGACATTGCGTTGCTGCCGCTGCTAGCGAAACTTCCTTATTTTCGGAAGTTGGCGAAACTTCCTTATTTTCACTGCGAGTACTGGCACTCTCCCTCTTTTGGTTCTCTATATCTGCCTGTGTATGCCTTCATTTTTTGTTCTTTCTTTACGAGCATCGAGTTGATGCTTTCAAAGGGGGGACTATTGCCACATGGCCTGCTTGGGTGAGATCGATAAGTGAAAGAGAACAAGGACGATCTGTCTAAGCTGCTGCTTGGCTAGTTGACTCAACAAGCCCATTGTATCAAGTTTGTCATGCGAAACGTGACAATATGCTCGAATTACCACCAATTAGATTCTGTCACGCAGACGTTGGAGTCCTGTGAACTGGAATCACTTGAGGCACAAAGACAACAGAACCGTTAGAAAGCTCTTTTCAGGACACTGCAAGGGCAACTAAAAAGGAACAAAGATTTGTACTTAAAAGTGCCAGTGAAACGAAGCAGTCGGGTTAATCACGACTGTGTTTCAGTATCGTACTCTTGTCAGACTGATGTGTTCCATTATTATTGTTTTGCCACTGCGATTGAGCTCTAAAATGCGTTGCCAGGCATTGTAGTAAATGCAAACGATCTTTGCCAATTCAAAAAATTGTTGGACGTATTTGAGTGATGCAGCTGCCAGAAGATAAGCCTGCATGTTTCCTTGGTTTGAATTTCTTTGTTTTGTTTCTTCCAGCTGTGTTTAAGCCTTGTAATGCGTAACCAAGCACTGCTGTAAATGCAGGCAGTGTTTGCCGATTTGATAAAGTGTTAAACATGTATTAATTGATTGCGCTACCACCTGACATTAATGTATATTGGTTGGTTTGTATTTGGTTGTAGCCTGCCTGTAAGAGCCCTCAAGAGAGGGCTGACAGTATTATGAAATAAAATAAATAAATTTCGGCAGCAGTGCAACCACCCACCTCCAAGTTGAGGATGCTGCAGCGCTGAGAATTAAGCACTGCAGACACCAGCCGTACAATGCCGGCATAACAAAATATAATGTGCCCAAGAGAAGGCACATATGCAAGGTTAACCCTTGCTGCTTGAAAAATGGAAACAAAACGTAGAGAAGACAGGACCAATGAAAAGTGAGAGATAGACCAAGATATAGGTAGAGAAGGAAGCACCCGTCTGGGTCAGCCCAGGTTTACGTGAAGCTGGGGCCAAAGAGGTGTGTTGCCTCAGCTGGGGGGCCTTGAAGGTCCAATCACCTGGGTTGGCTCAAGCCCTAAGATCCCATTTTCCCTGGACACAGCTAGGCGAGGGAGGGGTTTAAAACTTCTTGTTGGCTTGGGTTTTTGGTGACGCCACCAACCAAATGCTAGCTTGCGCAGATGCCACTGCGGGGCCGACACATCACCGGCCAATTCTGAGCGTGTCTGTGCTTCTTACAGGTTGATTCAAATTACTGTGCTCCACACCCGACCACTTTCGCTTGCTTCCTGTATACTGCCTATTTATATTTATGAAGTCTTGCAGTAAGTTTCAGAGACTGCTTCTGATCGACCAGAGAAAAATGCTGATATGTTCAATCACTGAGAGCATGAACTGTTGAAGAGTCATATCAACCAAGTTCAACTCTTGGGTCATACCTGCGAACTCAAGCCTGCTTGCTAAAAATACCATTAGGGTATACTCTAATAGCTGTACACTCTGTGCTAATAGGTTGGATTACACCTGCAGATTATGCGAGCGTGAACTGTCCACACATATGATCAACCACATTAGGTCATACCTGTGAACTGGAGACCAGACGAGCCATGACTGGCTTATTTTTGGGCTCTTGCTTGATGACAATAGTCTGAAAGCCCTTGGGGACCAGCTTGGGCTCGGGAGTCTCCTCAGCCAATGGTGGCGGCTCTTCTGCTGCCCGTGGCAACGGTGGTGGTGACAAGACCGGCCGTTTCGTAGGGCTCTCGGGCTCCTTCGGGCTTTCCTTGGACTTCTGTGCATAATTTTACCATCATCTTTAAAGACCATATATACCCGTGTATAAGCCGCACTTTTCTTTCATCCAACATGTGATAATGTGAAAATTCTTGCTTGGGTGCAGGTTATACATGAATAGGGCCTAAAGCTACACACTGTAGTGTTACTGCGGCTACTGTGACCGGTAATTAAAAAACTGGTGACAAATACGAACACGCTAGAACAAAGTCACTGTAAAAGGACAGAGCATGAGAAAAAAGGGTTACAGACAAATCCTGTTTTTTCATGCATCGTCCTTTGGTGCTGACTTCGTACAAGATGAATCAAATCCAACTCGGCCACGTATCTACCTACGAATGTTCTATTTAATAATTCAATGTCCAATCACTGTCAGACCAGCTCACCTCCCTGGCACGCTCCCACAGCTGATTGTCCTTTGCCACATGACACTGGAGTGACACAGTGTAGGCGACATAACAGACTTCGCAAGCAGTGTCCAAAAACCTGCTGGATGGCCTCTGAGATTAGGGCACAGTGGCAAGCCTACCCCTACGCACAATCTCGGAATCCATAGCTCTGGCCCATTCTAGGTTATTACTATGTTTTTTTTCCCCCAGAGTTTCACATGCAAAAGTGGGGGGTGCAGGCTTAAACAAAGGGGTGGCTTATATACGAGTACATACAGAAGCCATCCGATTCTGCCTGAACATTTTCACATGTTGGAAAACTGACCCCGACAAATATATAGTATGTGATGTGCTTTAGCAGAGCATAATGTGGGCTGAGATTGTGCGTAACTTAACGAAAGATTTGTGGCACAAACAGAAAAAAAGAAACAAACAGCTTAATGATATTTTTGTGGTGAATAGTGTTCGTGCTCCAGTCCTCGTGCATCACGTGCTTTAAATGAAGGAAAAAAAAAAAAAAAAATCCGTGAACAGGGGTTATGTCGTCGAGCCCTTCACGGCCTGGAACTGATTCCCTCAGCGTAGTTCATGCCCTTTGCTCCAATCCAAACAAAGTTGGAGGAGGAATCATCTCCAGTAAATCGTTCCACTTATCTTTTCACTAGATAGACAGGTTCTTGCAGAACCATGTTGCTTGGTTAGGTACCCAGCCACACGGTTCTGCAACAACCTGAGCAATGCCAAAGCCATTGCTTGCTGGGCTACCCCCATTACCACTGGCGGTCGAGATGTTTCACGGTGAAGACGGAACCCTGAACCCCGCAGCTAATGGCACTGCACCAACAGTTCCAGCAACATCTTTACTACCGACCTCCCCCGTTTCTGACCATAGCTTAACACCTCCGCCTAGCCGATCGCGTCGCTTCCCTTCACCTCTATGGCGGCGGTCGCCACCACCACTGCCAGGAAACTAGCCAGTCTGGCCGATGGAGGTGAGGTCGCACAACAGGATTCACCTCATATGCCTCCACCAGTCACAATGGACAAAAACCGAATATGCGTGTTAATAGACGGATTGTGTGCAACTGCTTTAGTGGATACTGGTGCCACAGTTTCTGTTATGAGTAGTTTGTCCAAAGATAGCTTGGCTGCAAAGTTATGTTTTACTACCAGGATTCTAGTAGACTTTGTGGCGTGGGCGGGGACATACTTCAACCCATAGGAGTATGTGCCATTAACGTGTTGTAGGTGGGAAAGGTATTCCCAACTGAGTTTCCGATTCTGAAGCGGTGTACACATGATGTTATTCTCGGCATTGACTTCCTCCAAGAGTGTGGCACTTTTGTCGACTGCGGTACGGGTGAAGTTTCTGTTAGCGGTGGTGATGCCCTTCCCGCCCTAGTTGAGCAGCCGCCATCTCCGGAAGACTTACTGATTGTTTCTAAAGAGCTGGAATGACCACCATGGTTCAGTAGCCGTATCTGCTCCAATAGCTGCAGTATCAGCCTTTAATGCCGTCGTTCAACCTCTCACAGTTCAGTGTGCAAGGAAAGATGTAATAGTGCCTCATTCAATTACTAATGGCTGCACGCTTTTGTGAGCACTTAACTCTTCATCAGCACCGGTTATCTTTCCTCAAGGAATGAAGCTTGCACTGTCCCATGGCGTCACGTAGAATTCTATTGTTGCCATTAGCGACGGGGAAAGTTAGAAACGCGTGGGAACCTCTAAACACAGTGCCTTCCATGAGTTGCACATTTCGAGCATGGTTAGTAAGATGCTACGGTCACAAGAACAACAAAAATTGGTCCAACTATTACAACAGCATGGGTCCGTGTTCGACTTCGGCGAAAAAGATAAGCGAATGTTTTAACCATGCTCTTGTGCACAGCATACCATTGACACAAGTTTTACCCATCCGGTTCGGCAAAAACCTTACAGGGTGACGTCATATGAGTGGAAAGCTACAGCTGAACAAATTCAGGACATGTTACAGAAGGGCAATACTGAAAAGTCGTGCAGCCTGTGGGCGATTGAATTATAGGCGATTGAATTCCTTGACTAAAAAGGATGTATGTCTGCTGCCTCGGATCGACGACGTAATTGACTGTCTGAATTTTGCTTCCTACTTTTCTTCACTCGATCTACAATCAAGATATTGGCAGATCCCCATGCACCCTGTAGACAAGAAAAAAAACTGCATTTGTAACACCCGATGGACTATATCAGTTCAATGTGATGCCGTTTGGACTATGCAATGCTCCTGCAACTTTTGAAAAATTTATGAACTCGATTTTTCGCAAACTGAAACAGGAGATCTGTTTGTGCTATCTGGACGACGTTTTTATTTTTGGGTGCACATTCGAAAAACATAACATTCGTTAAAGCCTCATTCTGGACTGTGTCGAAAAGGCTGGTTTGGTCTTGAACTCCAAAAGTGTCGGTTTGGTGAACGGCAAGACTTGGTCCTTGGCCATTTGATAGACAAAGATGGGGTCAGGCCCGACCCCCAAAAAGATTGAAGCAGTCAGCGCCTTTAAGCTGCCCACATATGTAAAAGAACGCAGCTTTCTCGGGTTATGTTTTAACTTTCGACGCTTTGTGCCAGAATTTACATATATCGTGTACCCGTTGACCAGCTTCTTGTGAAAAGACAGTGCATACGAGTGGACATCTGAATGTCACGCTGCGTTTTGTCAACTCGAATTTCCGCTGACATCAGAGCTAATTCTCATCACTTTGATCCATCTGCTCCTACAGAAGTACACAGTGACGCAAGCGGTATTGGCATGAGAAGCGTTCTTGTTCAGCGTCATAATGACAGAGAGAATTTCGTTGCCTATATGAGTCGTTCCATCAGCAAGGTTGAAAAAAATTACGCTGTGACGGAAGAAGAATGCTTGGCAGCCGTATTTGCTATTCAGAAGTTTTGTTGTTACCTGTATGGGCGTCCGTTCACAATTGTAACAGACCATCATTCCCTATGCTGGCTCATTACTCTCAGAGACCCTTCTGGCCGCCTTGCACGATGGGCTCTACGCCTCCAGGAATTTGACTTTAATGATGCATACAAAAGTGGATGGTGTCATACCGATGCCGATTGTTTTTCTCACTTTCCATTGTCTACGACTGATAATAATACAGACACGTTCGACATCTGCTTTGCTACTGTTTCACGTGCATTTCCTGACGTCACTACAATCCAGCGGGAACAGCACAATAACTTGACTTTAGACTTTTTGTTCGCCACTGCCAGAAGCCCCAAGGGCAGTGGTCGCTTTTGTCTTCACGATGGACTGTTGCACAAGGTCTATTTCCCGGCAAATGGTGTGCGGTACTTGCTAGTGCTTCCCTAAAGTCTGTGGTATGGCATCCTCCATGTCATGCATGATGACCCGACGTCAGGCAGTTTTGGATTCATCCACACTTTACATCGAACTCAAGAGTGCTTCTACCGGCCTAAAATGCGACAATGTACGAAGCAAGACGTCTCCAGTTGCGACAAGTGCCAGCGTCGCAAACGATCTACAAGCAGTCTGCATGGTCGCTGGATTATAGCATGTGTCGATCACCTCAATAGATATTCGGAAACTGCTGCGATAGTATTTTCAACAGCAGATTTCCTCGCCTCTTTCCTGTTACGATTCATCGTTCTTCGCCATGGCCCGGCTCAAACCGTATCAATGTACCAAATGGGAGCATGGCATTGGCACATTCATCGATCCCTGTAACATGCTTCACTTTATTACAAAATCAACCATACACCATTCTTCCAGTGAAATTACCTTCCTATACACGACTGTACCTATTGAAGCAAAAAAATTAGAGGCGATGCTTTACAGAAAACAAAGATACGTAGTGGTACACAGCAAGCAGAAAACATTTGTCGGACAGGCGAGGTCTATAAGAAGGATCTCACCTCATTAAATATTAGTTGATTACTAACAAGACACCTAAACAAAGCCTCCAACGAAGCACTTAGCTTAGCATAGGAAATCAAAACTAAATAGCTAAACGAGCTCCCTGTAACACAGCCCAACTAGCCGCTAGCATTTATAGCCAAATACTCAAAAGCACTATCCATAATATCCTCTGCATATATTATCCAACTAGCAATGAGCCTTACAAAAACATTTCCTAAAGTGCCAAAGGATTTTTAAGGACATAAACCTGCTTACTGCTGCCCACATAACACTTTTAAGATGATGTTATAGTTGAAAGCACCATAAGTGCCCATCATATAAAACCTAGTTTTACCTGCACCAATCCAAATGCTGTCTAAGTTCATACTGTCACAAATGTTGCCTTAGCGAAGCAGGACAGCTAGTTAATGTTACAGTAAAATGACGATGTTTGGTGCTTTGTGGCACAAGGGCTATTTGGTGGCCAAAGAGCGCTAGTTCATGGGACAAGAGGTTTGAACAACGATTGTGATTAGCGGCTGTATAAAGGCCTTAAAATTCCTCGCGCTAAGGCGGGTAAAAAGATAGAAGGAATAAAATCATGACCATACCGTGAAAAGTGTGTAGTGTTAATGAATGAGGAAAGTTTGCGATAATAAAAACCATGGTGGACATGTATGTCATTAGCACAAGTGCCTCGATCGTTC